CCCTCTTCTTCCCCTTCCAAGCTGCCTCTCCAGCCTCGCCCCCCCCATCCTACTCATCCTCCTCACCCTCCTCATCCAACCCACTAAAAACGTCGAGCGCCGAAAAAATCAGCTGTTCCGTCTTCCCCTTCTCTTTACCTCTACCATCCTCCACATCGCCATCACCATCTATCCCCAATGTGTCCCACAGCTCCTCGGGGAAGAACTCCTTAATGTATGGCCAAGAATCCAACTTGTGCACCTTGCCCTTCTCCCGCTTATATTTTGCTGAGTACTTGCTCACGTTGTTGAACGTGTCGCCCACACCACGCCCCTTGCCCATGACCGGGTATAGCTAGCCATTATAGATTGTGCCACGATACAGGCGGTAGCGCCCTACTATGTGGCATCGCTCCTTACTCAAGCGGTTCGGAACGGTGGTGGTTGTGGCTGCTTTGGTTCAGTCAGTTGGCCATTGCATGTTCCTGTAGAGGTAGGTATAGAGGGTGGAGATACGGGAAAGAGCTTGATAGTACTGTAGTCCGGTCGATTATCCGGGTCGTGCCCGAACGGACCGCCCATACCTCCTCATACTCCTCCGCCATATTTACGACCACTGGAGGAACCGGCGCGCCCACCTCGGGACGTTGCTCGCTCTGCACGGGGAGGAAGGTTGGCCGGTTGCAAAGGGGATTTGGAAAGATAGAGTGGTAAAGCAGGCGGGATTTCGAATTTATCATGCGCAGCTGGGGGTTTCAGTCGGCGGGTTAGGGCTTTTCAGCGGAAATACATACAATCTTCCGACTGTAACAGATGGGTTGATCAGATTAAGCGCTGGTCTTTGCCTTTTCTTATCTTTTGTGCGTCTTTTCTATCTCTGCATTTGTGCGTGCATAGGTTAAGTACACATACAGACGCAGGAACAGTTTGGGAAAGGGAGAATAAATGGCAGGGCTGTGGTGGAAGGTGGAAACACGTTACCGTATGAACTTGAATAAGAGCAACACCGCTCGGGACGTCTAGGTTTCCCCTCTTGGTGACGCGTGATTTTATTTTACTGGTATTTTCTCCCGTCCCTACCAAAATAGGCAAGTCAGACGTCCCGAGATGTGTTGCTCTTATTCAAGTTAATACGGTAATTTGGGTTGGATGTGTAATGGATTTTCCGCTGATCTCAGATGGCAAGGAACTGCAGATCCCCATTCATGATAACCATTGGTTCTAGTTTAAATGGTCTCTCCAGTAAGTCATATGGGAGACCTCGTTCAACCAGTTGTACTTGTTTCAGGGGTTTTTTTCCTGCCAGGGAGGAAAGGGAGCCGAGAAACAAGGATAAAAAAAGAAAAAACTCTCACCCCCCAATTTGAACCACCACCCATTCTCTCACCAAAAACACAAAAATGTCTTGGCAACAGCATGTCACGATCGTGTGTCCTCCGGCTTATGACCTGGGCGTGCTTCCTCTGCACCATGTTGCTTGTTTATGAACAGATTTGGTTTCCTGTCCTTGACGGGAAGGGAATCTGGCCCCATTATGCCCTAGGTTTAGCTCGTTCCCGGTTTTCAAAAGGTATTATAGCATATATATCCTCACCACAGCTATGGGACTTGGTAGGCCTACACAGGTGGTAGGGAGACAGCAGGGGCAATTAACGAAGTACCGCATTATCTGGCAAAACCCGAAATCCCGCTAGAGTAGTCAAACAATGGGTGGCTCTTCCGGCGAGGGGGATTTGCAGGAGAGTTGCCCTCTAGACTTAGATTTTGGTAATCATTTGCCACAGGGCATTTTAATTACCAAAGTTTTTACATGTTCGTAGGAAAGAGTATACTAAAGAAGTTTACTCTCCCCCGCCTAATGGGCCAAGCTTTACTTAAGTGCTCTAGCGCGATTTCGGGTTTGCTCAAATTATGCGGTACGCCGTCCATCACTTGTACTATGCCGCGAAATTTGATGGCAACAATAATTCTTTCACTAGTATCCCCTGGCCCGATGAGACACGGAGATTCCGGACCTTCCATATCCGGTAACTCTGCACTCTGGCTAAGTCACTTTTCTACAAACAAACTACTTGATATTTCATGATTTTTGACGGGCAAAGTCACAAGGCCACCCCTCGATTAGGAAGGGCAAGAACGTGCATCTCTCATCAGTCCCTGGGGTGCGCCATGTTTATGTTCTAACAATCTCGGCTTCCACGAGTGCGGCCGATAGATATATTTGTCACGTGAGTCCGATAAGAAAACTTCGGTGCACCTTTTAACTACGATCCATCCTTAGATAAGGCACGTGACAGATATATTTGTCGGCCGCACTCATAGAAAGCTGGGCACAATAATCATATGGCGGCCTGGCGCAAGATTAACCTTGGCGTAGCCAAGGTTTAGTACAAAAGGGGTAGGTTTGCCTCGTCAGAGACAAGTTACCAAGTTTCTTCAACCTCTCGATTTAGCCACCAATGGTCGAACAACAATCATCGCTCCCAAGTTGCAGGATCTTCGACAACAATGCAAGAACGCTGGACTTGATCCTACCGGGAAAGTTTCAGAGTTAGTCCAACGCCTAAAGGACAATCGGAATCGCATGGAGAATTTGCCAGCGCATCAAGAGGATCCAACATGTGACGCGATACTCGGTACCCAATCGATGATCAGTAGCGTGGATGACATGAAGAGAGACGCCCATGATGAGCTGGAACAAACACTAGAAGAGGGGGAACTCGAGGTTCGTGAGGTGATGCGAGATCATTACGTCGGTAATCCCCGGGGTCCTGCTCTCGCTAGTCTTCCGGAGTGTCTCCATAAAGTCGAGGAGGAAAATGCTGGAGACAAGGCCGAACTGGCCGAGCTGAAGGATTATGTATCCATATGGAGGATTGCGGGGGCTGATTATAAGGGGGTTCGGAATAGATTTCTCTCCGTCTTTAAATGGGATAAAATGGAAGTGCGCCTCAAGCAGTCGGACCGGAATTGCATTGCAGAGGGCAACGTCGTCGCACATTCGGGCGGTGCTGCCATTGATGCCTTGTTGTATGATGGCCCAGGGGGACGACAAGATTGGTACGTATTTAAGGAACTTTACGGACTACACCCCGCTGGTGTCCAGAAAATCAGTAAGTAATCCTCGCTATCTAATCAACTTCAGTACCAGTATTAAGGCTAACTTCTCCAGCCCACAAGGAAACAATCGAGATATTGAATCTCAACGCTAGAGTCAAAGTCAACGAGATACCCGGGGCAAATGCATTCTGCCGAAGATTTCGCCTCTTTGTAGTGGCATTGAGAATGGAGGACCGGGGGTTCAACTATTTGCAGGAGGATCTCCCGAATCCAACCTGCGCTGCGTACTGGTCGCTACGCGAGGTTCACATATGAGGATCCAGGTAATGTCACGACCAGAGCCATTCCATACAGCAGATACTAATAATACTTTAGTAGATCCAGAAAGGAAGAGGGCGGGGTTTTGGTGTGGTGTGGTGGGGTGGTGGGTGAGCGTGGCGGCGGTTGGGTGGGAGAGGGGTAGGACTCTTTTGCTACTTCTCTAGGAAGGCGGTCAGCGAAAGTGTGGCGAACGTGGCGGTGCATGTGGCGGCACACTGGCCCCGTGGCTGATCCTGTATATAAAATATCACCAGTAACTGAGTGGTTTTCGTTTCCGAGTCATGACATGCTTCAACCTGAGTAGTATTGGGCAATTTTCACCATGGTGTGTTACGGTCAAATCACTACGTCAACCACTCTTCCAGGAGAAATCCATCGCCAAATGCACTACCACGTTCACCAGACATTCCCCGACCCCATTTGTACAATAGCAGAAGTCAAGCATTGACAAAACAAACCTAATTTGGAAAGGCCAAAAGTTATAGAAGTGGGTCTCATGGAGGAAACGCAGGGGTATGTGAGCGGCAGGCAGATGTGAAAGCATAGGAAAGCTTGAATGCTGGCAGGGAGTCCAAAGGGTTATAGAAGAGGGGTGTAGCCCCAGTTCTCTGCTATCATACTTATGACAGAATCCCTGCCGCCCCACCGACCGTTCCACGGCCTAACACAGTATGATATAACAAACACAACCACCAAACCCTACACACAGCATCAATTGTGCTCACCACCCACCGTCACTGTGCAAGCTTAAGAGACAACCCGAGAATGGCACATTTGGTGCGGTCCAGTCCCTGGCAAAATTCATACAATGCCCAGCGAGTTAGCACCCACCCCATCGCAATTGCTTTTCATCAGAAGGTCAAGGTGCCTGATATTCCTAACTATCTAGTCCGTCCGTCTTCGAGGCAGGACAGGCTATATCTAGTATTCCTCCGATTAGGCAGTGCCTGGATGGACTGTGCCTGGGATGGATAGGATAGGATAGACTGCCGAGGACTGCCATCTTACACCACGGAATTCCACGAACAAAAGGATCTTGCCACAATCCTTCCACCACTTCTGTGCTTGTTTTTGGTTTGCGATGCTGTTCCCTGCAGTCGGCCCAGCCCCGGTCTCTCCTGCACCGTCTCTCCTCCACCGTCTCCAACAGCCCTCGGTAGTACTCCGAGGTCCCCGCAGGTCCTCCACAACTCCCCCCGCCAACACCCTTTGGCCGTGTAGGGCCTGCCGTCCAATTCAAAGGCCGATAGCCGGCACTTTCAGGCCCCCGGACTCCCTGCACATGGCTGTCCCGCCCCGTCTACGGCCCTTAAGAGTCCTCCCAGGGGGCCCTTTAGTGTCCCCGGACACTTAGACCTACTAAAGGTCAGTCTGGATATGATGCCATAGCTGGGGAAGATCGGAAGTTGCCGTTGAAGTGAGGAGGAAGGAGGATCGTCAAAGCTGCTTATGAGGGGTGCTGCGAACAGGAGAGCTTCCGTTGTGGGTCCAAGAGCGAGACACAAAAATACCGTAGTTAATCCTGGTGGCATGGCCAATGGCCAGATAGTTGATACCGTTACAAAAGCAGCTAATAGTGCTATATCCAAAACACCCGCCCTCGGCGGTTGAGCACCCATCCTTTCTGCTTCACTTGAGTCTTTTAAATTGGCCAGAGAGCCATCCCTTAGCGCCAACGCAAGTCATAAAAGGGGGGATGCGACAGGCTGTGACTGAAATCATTCAGGCAGCAATATTTCCTCGGATGGACACGATGCTGCTGCCGACGCCGTACTTTAGACAGGTGCGGCGGGGGGGAAGAGACCAGAGCAAATTTAAGGAGTTGTGTGGACTACTCCACACTGCGGTGGGAAACCTTTGTGAGCTTTCCTAGAACAGTCTTTTTTGAATGTGGATTGGGATTAATTTCTGCAGGCCAGGAAGACGCTTTCGAGGTCATAAATGCTCATGCTGAAGCCCACGCCTCAAAGCACACGATCGCCACTAATACCGAGTCCGAGGCCTTCGCAAAGTTTCTGAGAGGGTTCGAGGAAAGATGGAAAGACAATGTCGAGAGTTGTATGGATGGGAGTGCAACTATAGTGATAGATACAGGCTGGGCGTTTAGCGAGTTGGTGAGTTCTGAGGTGGGCAGGGCCACTGTTACCGATTAGATGACAATTATAGCCCTCAGCTTTCTATGGAACCGGAATCCGTTAGTGCTCTAGGGTTTGCTTGTGCACTCACACGCCGTTATCCCAGACGGCCAAGATCTCAGGGATCTGTCCGGTACAGTAGGTTATCTGGAACAACAAGCCAAGTTTTGCTGTAGAAAATATTGGAATTCACAATATTTCATACGGGACAGCAAGGTATCCCGATTATAGAGATCTGGAACACCCGGGTTTCGGTGTATGTTATTATATAAATCAATAATTTTTGAGATGACTGGCAAAATGAGCACACGTGCCGGGATATGAGAAACTTTACCCCGAAATAGCAAAAAAAAATAGAAAGGAAATGCGCAGCAAACTGGAAGGTAATTGGAAGGTAATAATTACCCTTCCTAGCAGCTTCCTCGAGACTTAGAAGGCCTGTTCCAATTATCAAAATATTATCTGCGCAGGGAGGGCATTTTGTGGCCCGTGTCGTTTCGGCGCCTAAGCCTCGTCTGTGTCGTCCCGAAAATTCTATGCTGAAAAAAAAAAACCTCCTGGCTTTCCCTCCCTGCATTCCTATAAACATGGACAACCACCTAGCAAATCCCCTTCGTTACTTTCCATGGACTGTGCATCACAGTTGAGGAGGAGCTCAGGGAGTTGGAATGACCGTCAGAGTTCCTGCACTGCTGGGAGTGTCCCGGCACCCACGAGCAGTGTCATATTTTCCATTGCCAACTGTGAGAAATAGGTAACAAGCTTCCAGAAGACGGTGCTAAATATGAAGATGTGACACTTGAGACCACGGTTTAGTAGACTCATTTTTTTGTTAAGGCAATGGCTATTATCCGGTTTCCAGCTGGTGGCTGGTGAGACCCCAGCGTGGTTGACACCTTGACCGGGTGCCGTGGCGTTGAATCTAACATCAACCACTATAGACTTGGATGATTGGGGTAATGTTTTTATCTTAGTTTTTTGTATATGATATTGTTTGGCTACCAGAGTGTCAGTTAGAAGTTGTGGGAAGTGTTCGGTACTAGTATTAGGATAGGCGTAATGGGGATTATATCACAGATTGTGAATTGAGATACTCCAGTACGTATTGTTGCCTAAATTCAGAATTCCGCGGGTTTACATGGGGTATATGATTTTCCTCCCCCCCTCTCCCCTCCCCACCCATGCAACTATTCTACCAGAATACCTCCTATACCAATCAATCCAACTCTGCCTGCGTAGATTTTAAAGGCACTAGGCAGGCCCAAATTTGGTGAGTATTGTCCAACCCCTACCAGGTCTCAAAGAACTTACTCTAGGCTGATCTTCGGTCATTAAAGAAAAACTGGGAACATACCTGGATTATAAGATCGCTTACTACATTACGCCCGCAATCCAACCTTGGGCTTTCACTCCTTCTTTCCACCCTTTTTATTATGATATTTGAAGAGCAGAATCTCACCAGGCAGCCGGAGCCGAGGCAATGCTGGACGAAAGGTGTACAGAATGGGAGCAAGGAAGAAAAGAAGAGAAATTGTATAATACATCAATGTCTAATATAGCAGGCAAACCCCTTATGGTTTGCTAATTAATAGCTTCTGGGGAAGCAAAATCTGATGGTCTGATGAGGTAGATCCAGGGTGGGGGGTGCCCAGGCTCGTTTCCCATGGGGTGGTTCCCCCGGCGGGCTAGTCCCTGGTTGCTTCTATATCCTGAGTTGTAAAAAAAAAGTGCAATGAGGGGATACCCAATTGATTGGTGCCCATGAACAAGATCTGTTCGCCCCGTTCTCCCTGCCCCATATCTACCGATTCGTGAACACAACCAAGCACACAGAAGAGCGCAACATGTCCTAGGTGATAAGACGGCACCGGGGTGTGGCAGAGTGTAGTATTATTTTCACTTGTGAACTACTCTGTACATAATTTCAGAATCTCAATTGGCAAGCCTTGGCTAGCATCCCCGGGCCAGCCCTGTGAGGATTTTGTTGTAAATCACTTGCACTCCAACTAACTGCTTGCCTATCAACTGAGACTCGAAGGACTGGAGACTTTTCAGGTGGTGCCCAAAGTTTGTGATGCTCAGAAGGGACTGGATAAGCAAGATGGAAGGTTCTAGAGATTACTACAAATGAGTGTATTATAGATTGAGAATGTGGGGCAAGGAAAGGAAATACACGAGGAGGCAAGAGCGACAGTAATTGGGCAACAAAGCTGGGTAGAGCGATGTCTCTGGAATCGTAACGAAGCGAAAAGAGAGGTAAAAGGCCAGGTCACGGGGATGACCAAGGAGACTGGTCGGGATGGAAGAGGTTATGAACCAGATGTATCCAAAGCCCACTGTGTGAGAGGTGGTAGGAGAGCGAGAGAGAATGGAGCAGCACTCAGAAAGACAAAAGCTTCCAACGCGCAGAAGTGAGAATATACAACTAGAATTGGTTTTACTTATCCTGAATAAGGGTGAGTTCAGAATGGAAATAACACCAGTAATTTCTGCATGTATCTCAGCACAGCTCAAGTAATAGCAGTACCTAAGCAAGAGCGTTCTCACAACAGAGTTCAGCTGCGCCGACAGTTCAACTCATCATGCAGCTATCTATTGTCTATTCTGCAACCTTCTTCAACCGGTAAAACATCCTTCCTGCATGCCGAATTAGAGAACTACCAGCCCCAGCTTTGGCGCCAAGGCTTGGTCATTGTTGTTATGCTATACCACGTGCCAAACCTCTCTGATTGAGGGGTTTAGTTGGACCTGACTATCAATGGTTTGTGCGAAATGTCAGAGTTGGTTCCCAAGAAAGTTTGATGGCTGATCTTGCAGATTTAGTCAACCTGTGCTAAACTACAATACACTTGGATGATGCAACTGTGGCAGGTGAGATATCAAGCATCCGCGAGCAAGCTGTCATGTTGGTGTGCCCCGCGACCGGTCTTACGTGATGACGATTTTAGTTGGGCAGATTTCGCAACTTCTAATCATAGTAACACATCAGGGCCGTTTGCTGATAGGGATACACGGAGTGGACCATGAAAGACGACAGTTGTGAATTAACATAGTCCGGATAAACTCCTCTAATATACATGACAAAACCCGTGCCACAAAAGGCACCAAAACAGCAAAGAAAGAAGAGAGAGTACAGAAGTAGCAAAAGAGTCCTACCCCTCTCCCACCCAACCGCCGCCACGCTCACCCGCCACCCCACCACACCACACCAAAACCCCGCCCCCTTCCTTTGTGAATCTACTAAAGTATTATTAGTATCTGCTGTATGGAATGGCTCTGGTCGTGACATTACCTTGATCCTCATATGTGAACCTCGCGTAGCGACCAGTACGCAGCGCAGGTTGGATTCGGGAGATCCTCCTGCAAATAGTTGAACCCCGGGTCCTCCATTCTCAATGCCACTATAAAGACGCGAAATCTTCGGCAGAATTCATTTGCCCCTGGTATCTCGTTGGCTTTGACTCTGGCGTTGAGATTCAATATCTCGATTGTTTCCTTGTGGGCTGGAGAAGTTAGCATTAATACTGGTACTGAAGTTGATTAGATAGCGAGGATTACTTACTGATTTTCCGGACATCAGAGGGGTGTAGTCCGTAAAGTTCCTCTAATACGTACCAATCTTGTCGTCCCCCAGCGCCATCATACAACAAAACATCAATGGCAGCATCGCCCGAATGTGCGACCACGTTGCCCTCTGCAATGAAATTCCGGTCCGACTGCTTGAGGGGCACTTCTATTTTATCCCATTTAAAGACGGAGAGAAATCTATTCCGAACCCTTTTATAATCAGGCCCCGCAATCCTCAATATGGATACATAATGCTTCAGCTCGGCGATCTCGGCCTTGTCTCCAGCATTTTCCTCCTCGACTATATGGAGACGCTCCGGAAGACTAGCGAGACCAGGACCCCGGGGATTACCGACGTAATGATCTCGCATCACCTCACGAACCTCGAGTTCCCCCTCTTCTAGTGTTTGTTCCAGCTCATCATGGGCGTCTCTCTTCATGTCATCCACGCTACTGATCATCGATTGGGTACCGAGTATTGCGTCACATGTTGGATCCTCTTGATGCGCTGGCAAATTCTCCATGCGATTCCGATTGTCCTTTCGGCGTTGGACCAACTCCGAAACTTTCCCGGTAGGATCAAGTCCAGCGTTCTGGCATTGTTGTCGAAGATCCTGCAACTTGGGAGCGATGATTGTTGTTCGACCATTGGTGGCTAAATCGAGAGGTTGAAGAAACTTGGTAGCTTGTCTCTGACGAGGCAAACCTACCCCTTTTGTACTAAACCTTGGCTACGCCAAGCCTAATCTTGCACCAGGCCGCCATATGATTATTGTGCCCAGCTTTCTATGAGTGCGGCCGATGAATATATTCGTCACGTGCCTTATCTAAGGACAGATCGTACTTAAAAGGTGCACCGAAGTTTTCTTATCGGACTCACGTGACAAATATATCTATCGGCCGCACTCGTATACTCGAGTAGAGGAGTGGAAGCCGAGATTTTTAGAACATAAACATGGCGCACCCCATGGACTGATGAGAGATGCACATTCTTGCCCTTCCTAATCGAGGGGTGGCCTAGTGACTTTGCCCGTCAAAACTCATGAAATATGAAGTGGTTTGTTTGTGGAAAAGTGACTTAGCCACACTGCAGAGTTACCGGATATGGAAGGCCCGGAATCCCCGCGCCCCATCGGTCTAGGGGATACTAGTGAACGAATTATCGTTGCCATCAAATTTCGCGGCATAGTACAAGTGATGGACGGCATACCGCATAATTTGGGCAAACCCGAAATCGCGCTAGAGTACTTAAGTAAAGCTTGGCCCATTAGGCGGGGGAGAGTAAACTTCTTTAGTATACTCTTTCCCACGAAAGTGTAAAAACATTGGTAAATGAAACGCCCTGTGGAAAATTATTACCAAAATCTAAGTCGAGAGGGCAACTCTCCTGCAAATCCCCCTCGCCGAAAGAGCCACCCATTGTTTGACTACTCTAGCGGGATTTCGGGTTTTGCCAGATAATGCGGTACTTCGTTAATTGCCCTTGCTGTCTCCCTACCACCTGTGCGGGCCTACCAAGTCCCATAGCTGTGGTGAGGATATATATGCTATGATACCATTTCAAAACCAGGAACGAGCTAAACCTAGGGCATCATGGGGCCAGATTCCCTTCCCGTCAAGGACAGGAAACCAAATCTATTCATAAACAAGCAACATGGTGCAGAGGAAGCACGCCCAACTCATAAGCCGGAGGACACATGATCGTGACATGCTGTTGCCAAGACATTTTTGTGTTTTTGGTGAGAGAATGGGTGGTGGTTCAAATTGGCGGGTGCGAGGTTTTTTTCCCCATTGTTGTTTCTCGGCTCCCATTCCTCCATGGCAGAAAAAAAAACCCTGAAACAAGTACAACTGGTTGAACGAGGTCTCCCATATAACTTCCTGGAGAGAACATTTAAACTAGAACCAATGGTTATCATGAATGGGGATCTGCAGTTCCTTGCCATCCGAGATCAGCGGAAAATCCATTACACATCTAACCCAAATTAACGTGTTTCCACCTTCCACCGCAGCCCTGCCATTTATTCTCCCTTTCCCAAACTGTTCCTGCGTCTGCATGTGTACTTAACCCATGCACGCACAAATGTAGAGATAGAAAAGAAGCACAAAAGATAAGAGAAGGCAAAGACCAGCGCTTAATTTGACCAACCCATCTGTTACAGTCGGAAGATTGTATGTATTTCCGCTGAAAAGCCCTAACCCGCCGACTGAAACCCCCAACTGCTCATGATAAATTCGAAATCCCGCCTGCTTTACCACTCTATCTTTCCAAATCCCCTTTGCAACCGGCCAACCTTCCTCCCCGTGCAGAGCGAGCAATGTCCCGAGGTGGGCACGCCGGTTCCTCCAGTGGTCGTAAATATGGCGGAGGAGTATGAGGAGGTATGGGCGGTCCGTTCGGGCACGACCCGGATAATCCACCGGACTACAGTACAACCAAGCTCTTTCCCGTATCTCCACCCTCTATACCTACCTCTACAGGAACATGCAATGGCCAACTGACTGAACCAAAGCAGCCACAACCACCACCGTTCCGAACCCCTTGAGTAAGGAGCGATGCCACATAGTAGTGCGCTACCGCCTGTATCGTGGCACAATCTATAATGGCTAGCTATACCCGGTCATGGGCAAGGGGCGTGGTGTGGGGCACCAGTTCAACAACGTGAGCAAGTACTCAGCAAAATATAAGCGGGAGAAGGGCAAGGTGCACAAGTTGGATTCTTGGCCATACATTAAGGAGTTCTTCCCCGAGGAGCTGTGGGACACATTGGGGATAGATGGTGATGGTGATGTGGAGGATGGTAGAGGTAAAGAGAAGGGGAAGACGGAACAGCTGATTTTTTCGGCGCTCGATGTTTTTAGTGGGTTGGATGAGGAGGGTGAGGAGGATGAGTAGGATGGGGGGGGCGAGGCTGGAGAGGCAGCTTGGAAGGGGAAGAAGAGGGTCCTGCAAAGGTCGCACGACGAGGAGGTTGGTGACGATGACGGCGACGACGACGACGAGGCAGCGGAGGAACAGGAGAGGGCCGAGGATGATCCCGGCGAGGATGGGGAGGGGTACTATGGTGCTAAGATGTACTTTACTGATGGGGAGGATGATGGTGGGGATGATTGGGGGGACGAAGGGGCTGGTGAGGACTATCACTAGACAGATGAACCGTGCAACTACGAAATGTGTCTCTGATTTCTCTGTTCTATTGAGACCTATTTCAACCACCCATTCTGAATTCTTTTCCTATTTCTTTCTTTTCGGAATTTCTAGTCTTTTTTTCTTTTTTTCAGATCTCGTAGCAAATGGCACCTCGTGATGCTTTGACCCACTCAGACTAAGGAAGAGAAACAAAAACAAAAACAAAATTTTGCCTATATTTGCGCCAAGTTCTCTAGTAGGCCCGCACGCCTCCCGCTGATGGGATTCCCAAACTCGGGGAGTCAGCTCATCCAGTGTGTATTCGCACCAAGCTCTCCGTCCTCCCTGATGTGCTTCAGTCGGTCTTCTGGGGTATCGTTGTTCGTCTCTCTGTTAGCACTGTGATCTGCATTAGATTTCCAATCCATCCTCTTGTCATCCCCCCACCCAACCCGCGGCTCCCCCCGTGGCTCCCCCCGGTACAAAAGCTTTCTTATTGACTTCCCACCATTGCAGACCTTGATAATGTTCCCGGCTCTTTTGAACTCTGCTCGAACCTTGTCTACTCCAGTGAGATTGCAGATCTTGCCCACGTTGTGGCTGATTTCAAAAGGGTCCGCGATGGCAAACGGGTGTCCTTCTCCTATCCGCGCACGGCCGCCCCCCCCCGCCCCACCAACAGCCGTAACCCAACCCTTACCTTACTTACTAAATATGCAGCCTTGGGTCCGGATGAAGATGACCTCTCTTTCGCATTGGAACCTATGCGAATAGTATTCGAAGAAGCTAAGGAGCAGCTGGCCGACATTCATTTGGTTCGTGGTGTTCGGAACACTTTTGATACCTTTAGCATACCAATCATAATGCTGTCTTTCGCCACCCTCATGAAATATCTGGTCAGGCGGTGCGTCCTCGGGGATCGTGGTATTCTGCCGACCGATAAAAACATGGGGGTCAACTACGTTGATCAGAAAATGGATTATCACGAGATCGTAGGCATCAGAAGAACCGGTGCCACGGTATGGGCCATTGATATGTGTTCTCTTGGCCCACCACTGGTATGTGATAGTGTCAAGTTCACAAAATTCTGACCTGCCAAGGGCATTAAGAGGTTAGAATTGGGGTGCGGGCGTGAATACCTTTATAGAAAGAACAGTTTCCTTGACTGTTGGATCACATCGACTGTGGGTTTGCAGCGTCCTGGTATTATGCACCCTCGGGTCGTTATTAAACCCGATGTCCCAACTCAAGTCACATGAATTACCAAGTAGACGTCGCGAGGGAGGTTTTGCTAAGGGATTTCGAGTGCCAAGACCCCCGTTTTACAAGGTCGCTATGACAACGCACTACATGTTAGTATGGTGATCAGGAAAATTATGTTTTCTACTATTTGTACCCGAGTTAACATATCCCGAATAACGGGGGGTTAAAAATAAAAATCCCACTAGCAACCGCTGCATGCATTGCGGCTCAGCTCAAGTACCTGCAGTATCTGGAAAACAGCATTCTCACAACTGACTTCGGCTGAGACTAGATTTCAACTCGTCAAGCAGCTAGTGATTCTTTATTCCCCAATCTTGTGGCATTGGCACAACCTGCTTCCGTCATTTGGAATTGGAGAACTACCAGCCCCGCCGTTGGTGCTAAGACTTGGCCATTGTCATTATCTTATCCTGCCTGCAAAACCACCCTGATAGCAGGGTTTAGCCGGACCTTGCTATCAATGTTTCATGCTAGGGGTCAGAGCTAGTTCCCAAGAAAATTCAATCGCTGATCTTGTGGATTTAGCCAACATGTGCTGAGCTACAATACACTTGATGAGGTAACTGTGGCGGATGAGATATCAAGCATCCGTAGGTAAGCGGTCAGGTTGGTGTCCTTCATGACTGATCTCGGGTGATGAGGATTTTAGTATGGCAGGTTTCCCGACCTCGAATCACACTAACCCATCGGGGCTGTTTGCTGATGGGAATTGACACGCAAGAGTACAATTGTGAGTGAACATAGTCTAGACAAACTCCTCTAATACCCCCGGACCCAACCCGACCCACAAAAAGCGACAAAAGCAGCAACCAAAGAAACAAAGAGAGCTCCAAAAACCGCAAAGAAGTCCCACCCCTCTCCCACCTACCGGCCACCCAGCTAGACCAAAGCCCCCCTGCCTCCTTTGTGGATCCACTAGAGTATTATTAGTATCTCCTTTGTAGAACGTTGTAGAATGACTCTGGCTATAACATTACCTTGATCCTCACATTTGAAGCTCCAGTAGGGACCAGTATGCGGCGCAGGTTGGATTTAGGTGATCGTACAACAGATAGTTGGACCCAGGGTCCTCCATTTTGAATGCCGCCAAGAAGCAGTGTTCCCAAGCGTCCAGTCCGTCCGTCCTTGGCTTCGGACGGGACGGACGCCCGTTTCTGGGACTCTGCCCTGGACGGACGCCTATCCTGTAGTCCGTCCTAACCGCTGCCCGGACGGCCGGCCGGGCCCTATAGGTGTCTCACCTGCAAATGGCCCTGCGGA